TACATGATTTTTTCGAGGCAAGTAACATTCTTCCAAAAGCAAAGCAAAAGTTGTGTTCCCTTATGATATTTGTATATATCTGCAAAAGTAATCAACATAAGGAAATTAAAAATATTCAGGTGCTATCCTACAGTAATAAAGTCAGCAGAAATGAAAGGATTAACATATTCTATATGCAACACTGCTGTTTTTTAAAATCAAACGACATTGAAAAGGTATAATCTCTCCAAAGTAAACACTAAGCACTTAGCCCAAATTTTTGCATGCTCTCGACACTGAACCATGACTGGAACAAACAATTGCGCTTGAAAAGCATGTCGGGAAGTCCGGTTTGCAAAGTATATTTGTTGGAATTTAAGTGTTTATTAAATTTACATGAAAGCTGAACTTACGTTTCTTTTGAAGGATTCCGACAGAAACACATATATGAAAGGATTTACGGCACGATTTATGTAGAGTAGCGCGAACGCCGCATATGACGCACATGTTAGAATTGATAAATTCCTGAAATATCAAAAACGAGAACATATTGTTTTTTGCATGGAAAATATTTTTTGGAAGTTATTCTAAAGGTAAACATACATATTCCAACCAATATTTAGCACGATTGACCATTGAATTAGCCAATATGGCAACCAGCATAGTGTATAAGATACAACAATTGATAGACCCATAAGAGTGACCTGAACTGAATAATTTTGAGGCTAGAAAGTCATCGGAACTTATAACCCTTTTGGCTGTCAAATAAGTTGAATTCTTTAGTAAAAGCTCATTTGCTACATCGCCTTCAATAGCTTTGAAAATTTCAGATATGGGCTTAACTGACAAGCTTTTTCTTTGTCGAAGATTTAAGCTTTGTGATTTCTAATTTGATTAAAATTACCCACAGTGATAAACGTCAAACAAACCTTCGTAGTTTTTCGTTTTGAAATCTTTCTTTTCAGATGCATTTGTTGACGTCGCCTCCAAAGTTTACGAATAATTTTCGCATAGAAAAACCAAATTGCTATCAGTGGGAGTAGATAACTTAGGATAAAGGTATAAAATATGAAAAATCTGAAAAGAACGAAGCTTGGAAAACAAGTTTATCTTTGAATTCATATTCTTGTGAGCTTTATGAGGAAAGAAACTTACTCCCGCGAAAAACCCGTAGCTGCCTCATCTGGTTTTCCCTCATAGTCGGGTTCTTCATCTTTGACGACTAGAATACACTTTCGTTTACCTGGACCTGGTCCATCTGTGAAAAATCTTTGTCATTCAATTTTCGAATAATTTATCACATTAATTAGACTTACGCATTGGTGTGACCTGTACAAACATAACTAAGGGCATATTTTCAAGTATAACTATTGCCCATGTTAGGATAGTAACTGCCGTAGCAGCTTTTCTAGTCCGAAGTACGGAAGATCGCGTTGGACGGCAAACTGCTAGAAATCTATCGAAGGATAATACAGCGATAAACATTGCAGACGCAAATTGGGAAATCTGAAAAAGGTGAATCTGCTTATTTGACGGAAGAATAATTTAGTTTAGGCTATAAGATACACTACCCCATTCCCAGCGATGAATCCTTTGCACACAATTGTACCAAAATTCCAATCATCAGTAATTGACTGCGTGATTACAATTGGAGTTCCAGCCAGAAGCAGCAGATCGGCAGCAGCCAGATTCCCAATATAAATATTGGATATGGTTCGCATTTCGCTATAAGAATAAAAAACGTTAAGAAAAATCGGATAGAGCAACTTCAAAGAATTATTGTAGAGAAGCCTTGCTAAGTTCGGTCTGATTCATGGAGATTAGTGTTTAGAATAGTATTTTTGAAAA